GAGAGAGAGAGAGAGAGAGAGAGAGAGAGAGAGAGAGAGAGAGAGATTCGAGTTTGCACCAAAGGCCAATGTAATTGACATGAGCCTGATCCTTATATATGAGAATTGTCTTCTTTCCTTATACAGAGAAGAATGATAGCTCAGTATCAAATTTCTAAGGGCTAAATATCCCACATTTTGGAAAATTAGATCTATACATTCCTCAAGCATTTGTTGAGAGCTTATTATGGTTAAAGATCTGATAGGTCATTAATTTATCATTCTGGTAAGGAGAGACACCATATATGATAATTACAACAGGACCCAATGAGTGCCATTAGGAAACTGCCCACATTTTGCTTTAGGAGCACCCAGAAAGGACCCCTAGCCCGGACTAGATGGGGAGCATGAAAAGAGAAAAGGGGTCTGAGCTGAGTCCTAGACTTGAAGGATAGGGAGCGGACATGGATCCACTGTTTCTAAACTAGGACCAGAGCAAGGAGTGCCCCTTGAATTAGAGTTGGAAATCAGGCTTGTTCTGCAGCCTGATGAATTAACAAGATGTGGCAGTGTACATCAGAGTGTCAGGGAGTTTAGGAGAAGAAAGTCTTGAGGTTTTGAGTCAGGAAGTTTGCTCTTGCATGTGTGTGTGTGTGTGTGTGTGTGTGTGCGTGTGTGTGTGTGTGTGTGTGTAGGAAGTGTGCTGTCAGCTTTCATCCCTAACACAAGTTCATGTGGAATTAGGTTTTACAGAAGAAGGGGCAGCAGAAGACACCTTTGTCACAGATAGCACCTCTGGGGAATCTAGGGGACCATGTGGCACAGACAGGGCAGAGGCATAGTGCCAGCGCCACAAGGATCCAGGAGCAGCAGCCTCAGTGGTCACAGAAATGAAGCCAGTGGAAATGGTCATGCCTGGAATGAAGAGGTGTCCCCAGCAGAAGTGACAGCAGCGGCAGGGCCCAGCTGGAGGGAGGTACAAGCAGTCGAGGTGGCAGGAGCCAGGTGGAAGCTGCCCAGAAAGCTACCCGGACAGGGGCATGAGCGTTCTGTGAGCTTCTGAGGGAAGCTGGCTGTCTCCAGTAGGCAAGAAAAAGTAATTTTTAGAGAAACATGGAAAAACAACCTTAGGAAATCAAGGTTATGCAGTCAAAAATAACGAGTCAGATGCTGTAGATAGGTGCTTATCAAAACTTGACCCTACACTCCAGATCTTTCCTTTATTTTCAGAAAAACCACAATGTAGAGGGCTAAATGACCATATCAAAGAGTCACCTCCTTGGGGAGTCACCCCAGTACATTTCTTCTCTGGCTCATCTAGGCTACCTGCGTTCATGTCACCCCCTCTCCTCAGGGTTCCAGTTGAGCCTCCTGACTGGACTAGATGGCTCCTGATTTGCCAGACGGGGTCCCCCCAGCAGTTCACATTGCAGCGAGGGAGTTCACTGCAACCCCAGTGCTGTCTACGTCACTCCTGAGAGTTTTGAGGGCAGCATCCTAAACTCCACAACATTCAAGGCCATCAGTAACCCGGTCCTGCCAGCCTGATGGTCTGCCATTTTCAATGGTCTTCACTAAGTGAATTACTCAAATTCAGAGTTGGCAAACTCCAGCCCCATTTTTATAAAAAAGGTCTTAGTGGAACACAGCCACACTCACCTGCTTGTATACAGTCTGTGGCTGCTTTTGTGCTCCAATAGCAAAGCTGAGCAGTTGCAATACAGCTTCTCTGGCCCCTGAAGTGTAAAGTATTTACTATCTTTCCTTTATTGGGAAAAATTTGCTGATCCATACTTTAGTTTTCTGAGCATGCCTGCCTGCCTCCTCCTCTTCTTCCTCCTCTCTCTCTCTCTCTCTCTCTCTCTCTCTCTCTCTCTCTCTGTGTCTGTCTGTCTCTCTCTCTCTGTCTCTCTCTCTCTCTCCTTTCTTTAGATATTCACAGTCAACTTTAATTCTTTTAGTTTGAGACAGGGCCTCACGAGGCTGATCTACGCAGTCCCCCTGCCTCAGCCTCTTCTGCAGTTTGGGATTATAGGCTTGCGCTGCTGCACCCAACACCGTCTGCCCTTTTGGTCCCTAGTTATTGCACATACTGTCCCCTTTGTTTAGAACACCATGTCCCACTTTCCCCATTATTTGGCTAAGTCCAGTCTGACTTTCGGGTCTCAGTTTCAAAGCCATCTCCATGGCAGCCTGCCGTGATCTCCCGTCTTCAGGCCAGCTACACTGCTGCTCCGATGTGCTTCCATCAGAAGCTGCGTAGATCCACGAATGAACGCTTACAGGCCGGTGTGGCCTGCTTGGGCGCCTCCATGGATCTTAGCACCTTGAGGGCAGCAACAGCATCTGTAGGGCCCAAGCACAGGCCTCAGCACAAAGGAAACTCTCAAAACGTATTTCTTGAAGCCAGGCTTGGTGGCTCATACCTGTAAGCCCAGCACTCCGAGAGGCCAAGTATCACAAGTACATACCCAATCTGGGTGGTTTAGTGACTCTGTGAGAGCCTGGCTTGAAATTTAGGAAGGGGATGTAGCTCAGTGTGAAGGTCCTGGGTTCAATCCCCATTGCTGAGAAAAATGTTCCTTGAGTAATTATGAGTGGACAGCTCGTTGGTAATCTGTGTTCAGTTATCAGTTTGTGGGAACTGATACGTGCATGGGCTTGTATGTGGTACTCTCTCTTGTATTTCAGATGCTGACCTCTGTTGGAAAGGGCATTGGCTTCTTCAGTGATCTGCCTCCAAGTCGGCTGTTGCTTCCTTTCTCCTAACGAGTGTTTTGTTGCACACCAACTTCCTAACTCCAGTTTCCCCAAATCAAGGTATGCTACTGCTTTCTGTACTCGTATTTCTCTCAACTTCTCCGGACTGCCTGAGTGCACATGGCTTTCTCAACTCACTTAAAATTCAGTGGCTTGAGATTGGGTTGGTCATTTTT